GGGAATGTGGGAATGGGACTGGGGACATGGAGGGATGTGGGATGGGAATACCAAAACACGGGGAAACTGAGGACAGGAGGAGCCGGGAATTCCATCCAAAGCGAGGCTCTACGGAGCGCGGTGCCGGGCGCGGGCGGCGGATCCCTGCGGATCCCTGCGGATCCCGTGGGATCCGTGGGATCCGTCGGGCCGGCTCAGGCGTAGAGGCGCAGCGTGCCGTCGGCGCCGGCGGAGAAGAGCCAGGGCTGCTGGGGGTGGAAGGCGACGTCGAGGACGCCGAGCTGCAGCCGCGCCGCGTGGCCCCGGAGCACCTTCAGCGGCACCAGCAGCGCGTTCTGCAGCAGGTCACTGCGGGACACACACACGGCGTTCCCACCTGGAACCGCGGCATTCCCGCCCGGAATGCCCACCCGCAACCGCGGCATTCCCACCCGGAACCGCGGCATTCCCGCCCGGAATTCCCACCCGCAACCGCGGCATTCCCGCCCGGAATTCCCACCCGGAACCGCGGCATTCCCGCCCGGAATTCCCACCCGCAACCGCGGCATTCCCGCCCGGAATTCCCACCCGCAACCGCGGCATTCCCGCCCGGAATTCCCACCCGGAACCGCGGCATTCCCACCCACAACCGCGGCATTCCCGCCCGGAATTCCCACCCGGAAACACGGCATTCCCACCCGGAATTCCCACCCGGAACCACGGCATTCCCATCCGGAACGACGGGAAATCCCGCCCGGAATTCCCACCCAGAACCACGGGAACTCCCGCCCAGAACTACAGGAGCTCCCACCCAGAAAAACGGGAATTCCCGCCTGGAGCAACGGGAACTCCCACCCAGAATAATGGGAATTCCCGCCTGGAATAATGGGAATTCCCGCCTGGAACTGGAACTCCCACCCGGAATGATGGGAATTATTCCCACCCAGAATAACAGGAATTCCCACCCAGAACAACAGGAACGCCGTACCCACAGCGGGAATTCCCACCCAGAACGGGAATTCCCACCTGGAACAACTGGAATGCCGCACTGGGAGCAGGAATTCCGACCCTGGGAGCGGGAATTCCCACCCAGAACTGGAATTCCCACCCAGAAAAACGGGAACCCCACACTGGGAGAGGGAGCTCCACTCCAAGAACGGGAATTCTGACACTGGGAATGGGAATTCTGACACTGGGAATGGGAATTCTGACACTGGGAATGGGAATTCTGACACAGGAATGGGAATTCTGACACTGGGAATGGGAATTCTGACACTGGGAGTGGGAATTCTGACACTGGGAATGGGAA